AGATCATGGTTTAACGGTTATGTTAGTGGTGGATCTTGTAGACCATGGTTTAACGGTTATGCTAGTGGTGGATCTTGTAGACCATGGTTTAACGGTTATGTTAGTGGTGGATCTTGTAGATCATGGTTTAACGGTTATGTTAGTGGTGGATCTTGTAGACCATGGTTTAACGGTTATGTTAGTGGTGGATCTTGTAGACCATGGTTTAACGGGTGTATATGCATTGCAGATCACATTTGAACGATTTGTTTGTTTGTTTGATTTTTCAATTTCGCGTAAAGCTACACGAGGGCTTTCTGCGCTAACCGTCCCTAATTTAGCAGTGAAAGACTAGAGGGAAGGCAGCTAGTCATCACCACCCACCGCCAACTCTCGGGTTACTCTATTACCAACGAATAGAAGAATTGACCGTCACATTATAACGCCCTCACGGCTGAAAGGGCGAGCATGTTTGATGGAACGTGCATTGGAATCCGCGACCCTCAGATTGCGAGTCAAGCGACCTAACCACCTGGCCATGTCGGGCCCATTTGAACGGACCATACCTTAAGTTTATATTGTAATTGATTAGGTTTTCTATATCAAAATGTATTATTACTAAAAATACTAAATAAGTGAATTTCTTAAACGATTTATCGCTAAAAACATTTATCCTTAGGCTATAAATAAAGGTGTTAAATACAAGGTAAATCACTGTTTCTCATCTTTTTTTTCGTCGCAGCTCCCCCTTCAGTAAACTATGAGCGCTCATGCTCCTTCTAATAAATTTTTAGACAGTTAAGATATTTTACTAAAATGAAACTTCCAAGATAATAATAGTCAAATCTTATGGTTTCATTTTAACAAACACAACTCTGAAACCCTCGATTTTAAAAACGCCCAGGTTGGTAAACACTGAGGTAAATGACGTTCGTATTACGAATAAGCAGATTGTCTTTGGTTTCTGTTTTGTGTTGAAATGTTAATTTCTTTCCAGGCCACAGGACGGATAGGAGAGTTTTCCATCTTCTTCTGTCTTCATTATTCCCCATCATCTACAGTTGTCAAGCCTCCCTATGGTAATGGAATTTCAAGATCCCCTCGTTCCATTAAGTGAGCTGACTCGAGGAATTCTACATGAACAACTCTCTTCCTCACAAGTTCCTTCGATTCGAACTCTACACGATGTGCCACTCCCAAATCTGTCACCCGATTTCCTGAGTGGCAGCTGTTTGTCCAGATTTTCATTAACCTAACCGTTATACGTTTCCTTTACTAAGGGCTTGGATAATTAATACGTGCCAAAGATTGAACTAGTGATTTGTTGGATTACTAACGTGATTTGAAAATGATGATATCCAGCGACCTCTATCACAGAGTCAGTCGCACGAGCTCTCATGGCAGTGTTATTTAACTTGAGAATTAATGCTAACAGTACATCTGGTTCCTAAAATTTCTCTGTGGTCACTTCGTACATCTTGATATTTAAAAATTCTCTCACTCTTGACTTGGCTTATTTTTGAAACGTTAACATTAAGTTCCACTATGTTTGCTAGTTTAACAACACTATATATATATATATATAATCGAGATATTTAAATGAGAGAAGCTTGTATGGATGAACAACTTTATAAGAGTTGGTATAATATTGCAGTCTAAAGCTTTGAGTTATCGGTATTTATTGGCAAATCAAATGCTGTAATTTGTTGTTTATTTGCATAGTGCGATATTTGTTAGAGACTTTTGTTTTGAAGATAAAATAATATCGATTAATTTTATAAGCTGTTAGTGACATTATTCAACTTATTATCTTCCAAGGGCGACATTTTAACATCATACTCGTTTTTATGTTGTTGAGATATCACTTAATAATGCTAATTTTTATTATGTTGTTAAAGTATTGTTGTGAGCTACTGTTTACATTTTTATTATGTTGTTAAAGTATTGTTGTGTATCATTTCTCGCATTTTTATTATGTTGTTAAAGTATTGTTGTGAGTTACTGTTTACATTTTTATTATGTTGTTAAAGTATTGTTGCGAGTTACTTTTTGCATTTTTATTATGTTGTTAAAGTATTGTTGTGAGTTACTGTTTACATTTGTATTATGTTGTTAAAGTATTGTTGTGAGTTACTGTTTACATTTGTATTATGTTGTTAAAGTATTGTTGT